CTGAAGATACAAAATTGAAATCTTGCAGTAAAAGATTTTTTAATCATCTCACCTTGAGCAAGGTGATAAAGCCACTAAGATAAACTTATTGCCCACCACCTGAAGACCTCAGATGGTTGAAACCAAGGTTGTCTGCAGGTACACAAGGTGTTTTGCTCCTTTTATATATATATATATATATATATATATACATTTATGCATGTTTCATTAAAAACGACAGACAAGGTACTACGGTTAAGCTTTTTTATTTAATTTTTCTTGTGTTCTGACAAGAGCTTTCTTTTCTGGACAAAGGGTGTGTAAGAACTGTCCAAATGTTTTATATTTCCGAGCAATTTCGGCTATACCTTTAGCCATTATCAAAGATGATTTGATTTTTCAGCTTAATTGAGTGTGTGCGTTCTGTGTATGTATTAGTGTGTGGTAGGGATGTTTTAATTTCTAAATACGGTCAGCACATTGTGGCTTTGTTCATAGTTAATATTGTTAAGAGTTGGCTTTTTCTTTTTTTTATTATTAAAGCTTCCATTATTTTTAGTCTTTTTTAGCAGGTGGATGCAGTTAATATATTTGTATTTTCTACTAGTATGTTCCTAATGGAGTCGAGTAAATTTTTGTGTGTTTAAATGGGTTCTAATGGAGCTGTGATCAGATAGGTGTAACGTATATATATATATATATATATATACATATATATATACACACACGTGTGTGTGTGTGTCTTGAACAGTAAAAAATTAAAATTTCAGACACAGTGGGTTGTATATTAATATTTTTGTTTTATTTTTTTTTTTAAACATGGTTCCTCGACTAGTTTCAGTCAGCATAGCCATCATCAGGAGAAAAAAAAATTCCTGCTTGTAAGTAGCAGTGAACTATAGGGGTAAATGACTGTGTCTGAAGAAGGTGAACTTTGCCTGTAGTTTTCATTTGTTTCTTTATTGTTAATTTTTGCTCAGTCCTTGTATTAGTCAAAGGCTTTTTATCAGGTTCTTTTAAGGAGAGGTTGGGAGACTCAGGCGATGATTTACCTTCTTAATCCTTTTGACAGCTTTATTGGTTGCTGGGAAGGGGATGTGTGTGTTATGTGTATGTTATCTTTTAGTTTTTTTTTTTGGAATGTATGCGTGTGAGTGGGAGGGAGACCTCATTACCTCTGCAAGCATGTCTGTCTAGTGTGATTGAGGGTGAGAGGAGTTAGGGAAATCAGCTTGGGCCGTTCATGGGTGATGTCCTCTTCTATGTAGTAACAGTAGAGTAGATTCAACTGTGCATTAATTATAATGTGTGAGAGAGAAATATGGCTAGAGTGATCTATGGGATTATATATTAATCCTATCCGTGCTGTTTAGTTTGCTGTTAAATCCATCCAGACAGTGTTTTGAGGTGCAAAATCCATTTGTCTTTATGTTCTAATATTTTTCTAACTTGTATATCTATTTCTATTCTTTCAATAATAGTGAATTTTGCATGGCTATTAAAATCATGTTTTAAAAGGTGGAAATGTTGTTCTACAGATAATAATCTTTTGTGGGAATCTGACATAATTCTGTAGTGAAAGGGCCATTTAGATTTTCCCACATATTGTTTCTGGCATAGTGTGCATTTTAATAAGTAAATTATGTTATGATGTCTACAGTTAGAGTTGTGGTAGATTTTGAAAGTAGATTTAGTGACTGAGCTAGTGAACAAATTGGTGTGTTTAATGTGGATACAACATAAGCTCCTTTTGTTGTTACATGGTTGGGAAAATCCTGTCATTTTTATTCTTGGTCTATTTTGTGTTACTTTATTGTCTGAAACCTGGCAATCACCTATGGTTTCCTCATGGTTCTTTGGTCTACGATATGTTAAAAGGTCAGGTTCCTCGAAGAATGTCTTTAGGGAGGGTTTGAGATGTAATATTTCCCAGCGACTTTTGATTATCTAAGATAGTGGAGGAAGAGTGGTGCTGAAAGTGGTTACTAGAGGGATGTGTCTGGATTTATTTTTAATTTTATACATTAGGGTGTCTTCTCTAGGTGTCGAAATTACTTTATTTATTTGTTCCCTGATTAAGTGTTGTTTATAGCCATGTGTTGTGAATTGATACTTGAGATTTTTAGTGTGTTCATTGTCAGAACTTATCCTTCCGAGTCTAAATGCATGTGAATAGGGAAGGTTCTCCTTGAGGTGTTTTGGGTGGGAAGACTTAAAGTGTAGATAGTTGTGGGTGTCGGTGATTTTAGTGTGTAGTGTCATTTGTAGTTTTCTGTTTTTATCGATGTAATTGCAGGTGTCTAGAAATGTTACCGATCATGTTAATGGAGTCCTGTACTGTATCTAGGGCCATAAGGAATTCAGTAAGTTTTTCCTCATTGCCTGTGTGTATGAAGAAGATATCATTGATATATCTTGCATAGAATATGCAGTTGTTACTGATAAAGGAATAAATATGAGTCTCCTCAAATTTTCCCATGAAGATTGTGGCATATGATAGAACTGCAATGGTGCCCATGGCACATCCTTTTACTCGTAGGTAGTGTCTTCAATTAAAACCGAAACTATTCAATGTGAGAATATGTTCCATAAGTTTTATGATTACTTTTGGGGGAGGGGGAGTCTTGTTTTGTTCTTTTAGTAAGTGCTTCTTTAAGGGCAGTTAGTCCTTCATTGTGTTTGATGTTGGAATAAAAAGATCTAATGTCCATGGTTACTAGAGTTGCATTTTATGGTACTGTTTGTATATGTTTAATTCTGTTTAGTAGGTCTGTTATGTCTCTGATGTAGGATTTTACTTCCTTTATATGCATACACACACTATATATATATATATTTTGAACAATAAAAAATATTAAAATCTTTAGACACACTGAGTCATATATTAATATTCTTTTGTTTTTATTATTATTTCGGTTAGATTCCTCGACTAGTTTCAATCAACATGCCTTGGTAGCAGCATGGAGAAAATGAACTTTTGTCTGTAGTTTTTTTTATTTTTTTAACATAAATTTTGGTCAGTTCTTGTGTTGGTCAAACAGTCTCGTTTGAGTTGATATTTAATACAAGAGCTGGATGGATTCATGCTGCTCTGAATTCCCTTGGTCATTTTGACAGTTTTATTGGTTCCTGGAAAGGGTATGTGTCTCTGTTAAGTGTGTGTATTATTTGGTTCTTAGGGAGTGAGTGAGTATGATGTGTGTAAGCTTGTATATTTGTGTGGGTCTGTGCATAAGTGTGAGGCCTCAACACCTCCATAAGCATGTTTGTCTTGTGTGGGTGAGAAATGTGAGCAGGTCCTGATTTGCGGGGTTATATATTAATAATATCTATATTGTTAATTTTGTGATTAAGCCCATCTGAATAGTGTGTTTTTAAATGTCATATCCGCTTATTTTCATGGAACTCTAAAATCTTTCTAATGTTATCTGCTCTGAACCTTTATATATATATATATATATATATATATATATATAAAAATATATATAAAAATTTGAGAAGATCCATTAACATATACAATATAGATTGGACACTTGAATCTCTTCTGATATCCAAGATGAGCTTACAAATCTCCTGTACCACTTGTGTGAAATTATTGCTTGTCAGCAATTCCTAGAAGCAAATACTTTGGTATTTGACACCTAAATTACCCCATCATGAGACCTTGGCCCAAACGATTCAGATTGTTGGCATTAACTTGGCAATTGGTCCAAATGATTTGGTTTGTTGATATTAACTTGGAAACAAAAAAGTACAATTCAAAGAGTCATTTTATTGATTTTATGCTGATAAAAAGAAAACGACACTGCCAATAGCAAGAAAAAAAAAATTAGAAGATGGACTTTTATTGAGTGATTGTTGTTAACAATGTTACGATGATGGTATTTTAACAAAAAACATTCTCAACAAAAACCCCTGAAAGCAGTGTTTATGAACTGTAATGACCATAGTTTGGACTTAGCATGCTGCAGGTCTGTAAATAACAGTGGATGCCATTTCTAATTTCCTTGCTTTTTTAACAAATCAATTTTTCTATGTAAGATGAGAACTAAAATAGGTATTTAATTTTTCCAAAAAAAACAAAAAAAAAATAACAAAAAAAAAACAACAGCCTAATATACTTAAGTATAATAAAAAGAATGGAATTTGTGTATAACAAGAAGTGAAAAAGTAAAAACTGCTAGATGGGTCATACAAATGTAATATTTGATAAAATGACTATAAAATATCTGAACAAAGTATTTAAGATGAAATATATGAAAAACCAGCTGGATGTTTATAATTTTTTATTCTGTTGTTCACATTTTGTTGAATAGGAACATCAAAACTGAAAAATTATGGAGAAATAAAAAATTTCCCTTCACTATTCTTTTCTCCCCTCTTTCTCTCTCATTTCCATTCTTTCCTCTCTTCTCTCACTTCTCCCATTCATTCTTCTCACTTAATTCTCTTTTCACTTTCTCTCACATTTTTTTTCTTTCCTCTCTTTTTTCCCTAATTTTTTCAATTATTCTGATGATGTTCTTATTCAATAAAATATTGGCAATAGAATAAAAAATTGAAAAACCCAACTGGTTTTTACATATGTAATATTCCAACAAAATTGTTTGTATCAAAGAAACAGCTTGAAAGAGCAGTCGTTTCTATAAATGGTCACCATTCCAATTATCTGATTATTTCTACAATTCTATTTTATTTCTGGGAGATAGAAAGAAAATGTTTTAAATGACTACTCATTTCATTGCCAAAGAGACCCACAAGTTATATTGACAGCCAATTCAAGACTACCATTGCATTTTATTGGTGTCATCACCATCTATGAAGTGTCTTGAATCCATATTCAATTCACTGCTAAAATAAAAAACTGAAGACAAAGAAATTTCTCATATTTTCTAAGTTGTTACAGGATAATCTTTGTCTTCAATATCTTTATCACCATAAATTGTTTTGAATCATTATCTGATATACTGCTAGAATAAGATGTGGGAGAAAGAAATATCATGACAGCTGGTTTCAAGTGATTAAAAGGAGAAGAGAGAGAGAGAGAGACAAAAAGAGAGGAGGAGATAAAAAGAAAGAGAAAGGGAGAGAACAAGATGGGGGAGATAAAAAGAGGGGAAGAAAGAGTGGAGAGAAGGGAAGAGAGAGAAAGAAAGAGTAGAGAGAAGGGAAGAGAGAGAAAGAAAGAGTAGAGAGAAGGGAAGAGAGAGAAAGAAAGAGTAGAGAGAAGGGAAGAGAGAGAAAGAAAGAGTAGAGAGAAGGGAAGAGAGAAAAGAAAGAGAGAGAAAGGGAAGAGAGAGAAAGGGAGAGAGAGAGAAAGAGAGAAAGAGAGAGTAGAGAGAAGGGAAGAGAGAGAAAGAAAGAGTAGAGAGAAGGGAAGAGAGAGAAAGAAAGAGTAGAGAGAAATAAATAGAAAGAGAGGGGGAGAGAAAAAGAAAGATAACTACAGTTAAATAGAACTTATCTACTTATTTTCTTTCTTAAACAATTCTTCAGATTAAAAGATAAATGAAACAAAACAAAAATATACAACAATGAACTTTGAAACAATAAATACAAATTAATAACTAAATGAAACATTTTTTTGTTTGTTTTTACTGGATATTTTGCATAATCTCAAAAAAAAAAAAAAAAAAAAAAAAAATGGATTTTGCAATGAAAAAAATTTCCACTTAGATTAAATGTTTGTTTTTCTAAGAATGTAAATTCCTATTGTCACACAATTGAGTGTCAGGTCTTGAAAGATTTTCCCATTTATCCCAAATTCACCTCCAGACAAAGCAGTGATAGTGTGGAGTGGATGTTGAAATCAACCATACTGTTTTGTTGTCATAGAAGCTGCAAAATGATTGTGCAATTATTTTTTACATATCTGAATAAAAGTTCTCTCTACGTTGGTTGTTGTTGTTGCATCTGTGCTTGAAGGTCTTTAGCAGCGACATTCTCCTGGCTGATACTGGTCAGTTTTTTACCCACCTGATCATGCACCTCAAGAAATTTGGCCACACAACGGTCTAGGCACACAGCTTCTCCTTTGTTCAACTCTGAATCATTATAACGAGGGGGTATGCACTTTTTCTGGCAGGATGATGCCATTCTGAAAGATAAAGTTTTAAAATTAAAAAAATGGAATAAGAGAAGAAAAATAAATTTAAATATACTTAGTGAACTACAGATAAAGACAAGACTTGGGAGGGGGAAGCTAAACAAATGAGCGCCAGACTTGGGAGGAAGGGGAAGCTAAACAAATGAGCGCCAGACTTGGGAGGGGAAGCTAAACAAATGAGCGCCAGACTTGGGAGGGGGGGAAGCTAAACAAATGAGCGCCAGACTTGGGAGACTTGGGAGGGAGGGAAGCTAAACAAATGAGCGCCAGACTTGGGAGGGTTAAACAAATGCTTGGGAAACAAATGAGCGCCAGACTTGGGAGGGGAAGCTTGGGAAACAAATGAATGCGCCAGACTTGGGAGGGGGAAGCTAAACAAATGAGCGCCAGACTTGGGAGGGGGAAGCTAAACAAATGAGCGCCAGACTTGGGAGGGGCGCCAGACTAAACAAATGAGCCAGACTTGGGAGACTTGGGAGGGGGGAAGCTAAACAAATGAGCGCCAGACTTGGGAGGGGGAAGCTAAACAAATGAGCGCCAGACTTGGGAGGGGGAAGCTAAACAAATGAGCGCCAGACTTGGGAGGGGAAGAGGAAACAAATGAGCAAATGCCCAGACTTGGGAGGGGGCTAAATGATTAAAAAAAAAGAAAAGGAAAAAAGGAGTTCCACAAGTGAGAAGTGCAAGAGAAGAAATTCTTAGTATAAAATTTACATTTACATCTAGCAATTCTTATTATTTTATTTTTCTCTCACCTCAATAGTGTTTTTTTCATGTATTCTCGAACACTCAGTAATGTCTTAGTGGCTTTACTGCTTTGTTTGGGTTAAAATGATTAAAAAGAAATAAATAAAGCCAGATGTATAGATAAATAAAATGTAGAATTCATGTTAAGGTTTGATAATGACCTCTCCAAGAATTTATTCCTAAACTTGCAAGTGGCCTCATTTTGGGAAACTGTAATTGGCAAAGAAACTTTGGAGAATGGGATGGGGAAAAAGATCCAACCAACTTTTGACACCTTTCTTATCTATTCTTAACAAAGGTAGACAAGCATGAAAAAAAAAAAAAAATAAAAAAAAAAAAAAAAATATACCAACACCACCAATAAGAACGGGGGTTGATCTCAACTTATTCAAAGGGACCCCAAACCTTAAACAGCCTCTCTCTATATATATATATATATATATATATATATAAGCTCTTAATAAAGCACAATTATTAATTTCTGTCTGAATGTTTGGGATAAGGAGTTATTTACATTATTTACATTTGGATTACTGTCTTCATCTTAGTTGTTGTCATCACGTTTCAGCCGTTGTGCTCTCTAGACTTCATCAGGTGTATATTGATCTTAATACCTCCTGAGAATTCTGAACTAAACCCTTTATTTAATCTATGGTAATAGACTGTTCTCATTCCACTGCCCATGCCTCAGGATATCTTGTCTAGTCTTTATTTTTAGTACTGCTCAGTTATTGCTTACCCCAATTCTGCAGTCCAAGTAGATAGAAGGATTAAACTCATAATTACTAACTATGTCACTAAATTCACAAACCAACGCTTTAATCCGCTTGGCTGAAATGTTGAGATAATAACAACAAAGATGAGGACAATAGTCTGAATGTAAATAGCATAAATAAATAACAGAATTATTAGTTGCAAGAAATTTTGTTATAACCTTCAGGTTATTGGTTTGGTTTATTTTGTTTTACTGCATATCAACACCTCAATGGGTTATTTAATGTCGACAAGATTTTTAAGATATGTTCATAGGAATAGAACATGTATTCTTTGTAAGAAATCCGTTTGTAGGTCAGGTTTCATTGACATATTTTTGTAAAGGGGGTTTTTGTCGAGAGTCAAAATATTGCCAGTAATATTTTTCTCAAAAATATTTTGCTGGTATTTTTACTACAAAAATATATTTTTTCAGTTTCATAGTGTTTTGACTTCATTTTGGAGGTTAACTATTTGTGCATAGCTGGGACCCTAACAGCTGGCAGGTTAATTCAAAATGAAAAGTGATCTGGTAGCACTTGATGGAAAAAAAAAAAAAAAAAAAAAACTCGTTAATAATGAAAAAGAATATAGAGTAAAATAATTAATGTGATAGTGAAAAACGACAATCCAACAAAGAAGCGTTTCAGGAGCAGAAAATACGATGGAGATTGATTGATTGATTTGTTTCTTATGGTTTATCAACCTTTGCAGGTTATTTAAAGCCAGAAAATATCTTCCATATTGTAAGAATTTTTGTTGAAATAATAATTTATTTAGTGGTACAAGTCTTACTAATTAACCCATAGCTAGGGGAGAATAGGTGGATTTGTGCCGAATCAGAATTTGATAAACCATAAATTATAAACAGCATAGCGTAAATGAAAAATGCCACAAACTTAAAGAAAATAAAGTATTATCGTCAAAATGCTTATGTTATTATTAAGATGAAAGAAAAAAAGTATTTTTTAATTATTTTTTGAAATTTTTTAATATTTTCTAACACGTTCGAAATTTTGGTTAAAGTCGTCTTTGTTTACGTCATCGCGGTGACGTTTAAAATAACATAGTTTTTTTTTGCGTTTTTTTACCGTTGAAAACATATTGATTTGGAAATTCTTGTAAAAATAAAATAATTGTCCAATCTTAATGAAATTTTCAGGACTTAATCACAAATGAATGAAATTATTTTTCGAATATTTTGTTTTTAGAAAATTTTGGTAAAAAATATTTTTTTTTAAATATGTTACCACCCACTTAGTTAATTTCATGAAATTTCGCCCAAAACCTTTTTGGATCCTCAATTTTATTTTTTTGTTAAAAGTAGGAGTCTTCGAAGATGGTAAATAATCTACTTTTCTTTCACAAATTTGAGCTATTTAACTGAAAATCTGCTCTGAATTGAAAAATAATGAATCCAATAAAACTATGATATTACTTAAGTAGAAAAGCTTTTAATTGCTTTTGTAAATAAGTAATATTAAGGACATTATTGTCTGAAGAAATAATTTTTTTCTGATGAATAATTAATTTTTACAAGAATTTTTTTCTTTTTAGAAATTTTAATTATAATAATTTATAATAGTTTAACATCGTGTAAAGCTCTGTATTAGGAGGGCTCCTCAATATTATGTAGTAATTAAGTAGAAAAAAAAAAATTACGAATCCAAAATTGCTAAGTTTAATAAATTTAGTTGAGCTACTTTTTTTAAAAATAATTTTTTATGTTGTATTTTTTTTACTTAATACATTCCTTATTTCCATGTATGATATACAGAAATTGCCATTATTATAACAAGGTCACGTGATCTAAGGGTTTTGTCCTTTAAAACGTGGCCTTTTCAAACAGATTCGTTTCTTATAAGTCGTATTTTCCGTTCAAAAGTGTAAACTTTAAATTTTTAAATTTTTTTTTCTTTTTTCATTTACTATTTCACTAAATAATTTTATTTTATGTATTGTATTTCCATTAGTGTGTGTCATACTCAAATAGAATAATTTTTTTAAAACTCAGACTTAAAAATTATGTCATTTATGGTCATCAGTAGTAGCTGTCATCGGCTCGTCAATCAATCATTATCAATAAGATCGAACAGATGAACAGGACCGCTCGTTAATAATTGGTTGTATATTATTTTTTTTATGCTATAAGTAACAAAGATTTCTTTGAAATCAGATTACTTTAACTTTAAATTTTTTAATTTTACTAAAATAACGTGTCAGAATTTTTTTTAAATATTTTAAAATCGATAAATTTGTGTTTGTTTACAAATTTCTTAAAATTAAGAAAATGGCCGTTTTTAAGAAAATTTAAAAATTTTGAAATTAAATTTGACAATCAAATGTATATAGTTTTCTATCTGAAATACACCAGAATTGTTTAATTAATAGAAATCGTAAATTTAGTTATTAAATTTTCAATTAAAGCTAAAATGAAATCTTCAAGAATGTTTTTTCATTGTAAAAAATTCATTTTAAACTTAGGTATCGAAAATTTATGCCGAAATAGTGGAGGTACTTACTTAAAAGCATTTAATGAGCGAAATTCAAATGTTTGACCATTGTTATAAATTTTGAAGAGAACATATGGTATATAGGCCAAAAGTTTTTCCTATTTTAAAGTAAATTTAAGTTCGGAAAATATTTTTCGTTTGTTTTATTTTTCTTTAAATTTATTTACATTTTTAATTGTTTTTTTATTTCACAGGTAACGTCCGAAATGAAAAAAAAATACAATCGTCAAAAAATTCTCTACATTTTGGAAATGTATAGAAAAAACAAATAATAAACGTAGGAAACTGAAATTAATTAACTAATACATTTCACGAATTAAACGTAGAAATTGATAAATTAATACATTTTAATTTATTCTCCACATATGACGTAAAAAATTAAGGATATCATTTATTGAAATTTCCTACAACTTCGTTTTTAGACTCTCGGATGACGAAAATTTGAAAAAAGAAAATTAGTTAAATTAAATTTCTAAGTTTTTTGTGTAACGAAGATTAAAAAGGAAAAAGATTTGATAAATCATTTTTTCGACAAAATCCTGCTAAAATAAATATTTCCGAAACAATGTTCCTTTTCGATTTTTTCTATGAACTGGATACCCACTTTATGTTCAAAAAGCTGAAAAACTTTCCCAAGAAATTTCATGTAAAGCAGACTTGTTAAATTACATTAAATTTTAAATGTTTTTAACCTCCTTGAAAAGTTAATGTTAAATTATTAATTTTCAAAACAGTTTTTTTTTTTTTTTTTCAAATATCTTGATCTGTATATTTTTTTGAACAAAAGTCACCCCTTTTAGAATTTAATATAAAAAACTTTTAAACAAAATGATTTAATTCAACTTTTTAGAAAATTGCTGCTGGTTTGACTTAAATACTAAAAAAACTTGTTTTTATATAATTGGAATAAAATTAAAATTTTGGAATTTCTTTCAATTTTTTAATAAAAAAATAATTCGTAATGTTTTTTTTTTTTTT